TGGCTGCCCCAAGCATCTAGCTAGGTGGGCGTTCTGACTCCAGGTCTCAGTTCTCTCTGCATCAGCTCCTTAAGGGTTAATAGAGCAGGCTCTGGAACCAGATCACCTAGGTTCAAATCCTGGCCCTGCCTCTTACTGACTGTGTGGCCTTGGACAAAGTAAGTCACTTAGAACAACCAATAGTAGGAACCGCCTGTAGTTGCGGCTGTAGAGATTTAGAGTTAATAGCGGCTGCTCATGTTTATTGAGCATGGACTGTGTGCCAAGCAGGCTCCCACGGTCCTCACCAGAGCCGGGATTGGGCAGGAGAGGCTGTGCCCTTGGCAAGGAAGTAAACAGAACAGTCCTTGGCTCCTAGTGAGTGCTCAGTGACTGTTAGATGTCTGATTATTAAGGTAGGTAAACTCTGATGCCCCAGTGCCACCGACACTGCCCCCAGCCAAACACCTAGACAGTGAAAACCAATCATGAATGAGTGAATCAATCAATCAAAGTATGTGACTCTAGATTAGGATGATTTTTAAGGTGTGTTGGGTGGGGCCATCTGACTCAAGACTCTGTAGTAATTTCTGCACGTCAGGCTCAGCTCACTGCCTTCACAGAGCTGGGCCAAGCCAGGCTGATGAATCCATGAATCCATTTGTCACTCCCTCTTCTGCCTTTCTCGAACTCAGGGCTCTGGGTGGCTGAAGGGAGGGCCCCCAGCGTCACTCAAGTACAGCGTCCTCCCAGACATGGGGACACCTGCCGGTGCTCTGCTTGGTGTAACCCTAAAGACTAGAAGCAGGGTCTGTGCTTGTATTCCCAGAGAGCCTGATCATACATCAGAGATGATGGTGGGGGGGCGGGCGGGGGGCTTTCTCACAATCACTGCAAGTTCTCCAACATGGAAGAGGCTGCCTTAGTTGTCATGAATGAGTGCCCCGTCACCAGCAGCATGCAAGCAGAATCCAGGCAAGGGTTGATGAGGACACCACAGGAAGAATTCCCGCCTTAGGTGGTATTTGGAGTGGATAACCTTTGCCCTCTGGTAGTCTGTATTCTCTCAGTCTCCCAAGCTTATCAGTGGGGAAGCTGGGGAGGCTGGGGAGGCTGGGAGCTCAGGCTGCCAAGGCTGAGGGCAAGCCTGCCCCGCCATCCTTTGTGAAGGAGGCCATCCGGACTGTGCCTATCCCGTATGCCAGCCAAGGTGCTATGTGCTGGGACCCCAGGGGTGAACAGGACACTGTCCCTCTCCTTGGAGAGTTCACAGCCTCCTGGTAGATGACTGTGCAAATAGTCAATAGCAGCAATAGTAATCACTCAGGATAACAGGCAAAGTGTTTGGAGGGGGGCCAGGGGAGAAGCAGCAGACTCTATCCATAACCCCCTGCCTCCAGTCTCCCTAAAGCGCACATGAGAGGATCTTGCTGTCTTCCTTCCTGCCTACTTTTTTTAAAGTGATGTGTCCAGTTCAGACACATTCCTTAGGCAGCCATTCTGTCCCCAACTCTTCTGAGTTACCTGATCTTTACACTGGGCATCAAAAAACGCACCTCGCTGGGCTGCTGTGAGGATGAACGTTGACATTCACTGAGTGTGCCCCTAACGCCAGGCAGGTGTAGACGCTCGGTGCAGTGCATGGTATTCACAGCGAGGGTGAGATACGTCGGCTGGGACCTTGGCTTTGCTCCTAAGTAGCCACGCGACCCTCTCCTGCTCAGATATAAAAATATCTGCCTTGCAGAACTTGTGAGAGTCAAGTCAGGTGATTCCAGGAGCAAGGTTTGCAAACTGGAAATGCTGATTCCTATTACGATCATTACTAATGTGATTCTTGGTGAAGTGTTCCTCTCAAGGCCCCAGGGGAGTGGGGACCGGAGAAGGGTGGGGATGGAGCCAGGAGGCAGCCAGTGGCTATTGCAGGGGTGGGAGGGTCACTCCCCCTAGACTCCCACAGGAGCCTGGGAGCAGCAGGGGCTCCATCTGTCCTGGTTGCCCTCCACAGGCTGGGACGGCAGCACCTCCTTGGTGAGCAGGCGTGAGTGAGCAGGTGTGCCTGTGTGTCTGTGTTTGTGCCCGTGTAGGCGGGTGCAGGAGGGTGGGGTGGGCACAAGGATTACCAGTGTCTGTAGCCAGAAATCACTTATGGACGAAGAAGAATGAGGATGTAATTGGATTTCAAAGATGCTTGGAGTGAGCTACTGTTAGCACCCGGGACTGCAGGAGCGAGGCCTGCGGAGTGGGGGTTGGACCTCATCTTTGGGCCTGGGGGCGGGGGTGGGGGGATGGGAAGAGGTTTCAGCAGTGATGGGAGCGTTTGACATGGTGTTGTCGGAAGCCTGTTGTGGTTGAGCCCGGGGTGAACAGGACACTGTCCCTGTCCTTGGAGAGGTCACAGCCTCCTGGCAGATGACTCCAGATAGTCAATAGCAGCACAGTAACTGCTCAGGCTAACAGGCAAAGTGCTTGGAGAGGGGCCGGGAGAAAGCAGCAGACTCTATCCATAACCCCCTGCCTCCACTCTCCCTGAAGCAGATCTGGGCTCAAGTCCTGGTTATGGGACCATGAGCCAGTGATTTCACTTCTCCGGGCCTCAGTTTGCTCATCTGTAAAATGGAGCTAATGACAGGGCCTACCTCATGGGAGTTATTGGAAGTTTGGCACAGAGGCTGCACATGAAGCCTCAACACGGGGCAGGCAGGTCTTCAGTCATCAGTTGTTGCTGCTGGTGTTATGATGAGGCAGCCTGGGAGGAGTGGAGGGAGTAGCCTCAGGAGTGCTGGTGTATCTCAACGGGAAAGCAGAGCTCTGGGGTGAGAGCTCTCTAGCCAGGGTTCACGGAGGCTGCCACAGGAGCACCATTTTAGACCAGAGAGGAGGAGCCTCCATCCCGTGTCACAAGGAGGAAAGCAGACAGCTGGGCTTTCACAACTGCTTCTGGTTCCCCTCCTGGTTTCCTCTCATTTCCTCCAAAGCTTCCTTGTCTGTAAACCTGCCTGGGGAGGAGAACTCTGTTACACACAGCGCTGGGGACTGGAAGGAGCAGCTGGGAGCTCAGAAACCCCCAGGCAGGCCTCCCAAACGCTTCTCGCCCCCACCCCTCCAGCTTGAGCACTGACCAGCCCTCCTCCCCCCACCCCATTCTCCTGCCGGCAGCTTCCCTCCTGTGTGACTCATCCCCACCACCTCTGTTGCTGCTCCAGGACCAGGAAATGTCAAGCAATTTCTTATCTGTGGGAGAGACAACTGATCAGGATGGGGGTGGAAGCAATGAGGCTCAGATCTCCCCAAAGAAAGAGTGTGACAGCTAGGGGACCAGAAGACCATGGCCAGCGCTTTCCTGCTTCCTGTCGGGGAGGGCTCAAGGAGGAAGGTGAGAGTGGGATTTAGCAACTAGACCCATCCGGGATTTAGGCTCAAGGTCCTAGTCCTCTTCTAACCAGCTCTGTGGCCTTAGGCAAGTTACTCAGCGTCTCTGAGCTTCGGCGGCGGCGTGTTCCTCTGTCAAATGGAAAGAGGAAAATCATGATACATAGGGTTCTTGGGGTATTAAGTGAGACAGTACATGTACCTGAGCTCAGGGCCTGCAGACAGTCAGCACTCAGTAAATGTTCATTGACTCAGTGAATGAATGGACACATGGAAATGGCAGTGAGCTGGGCGCACATGGCTGTCTGCAAGAAATCCACCCTCCGCTAGCTGGGAGAATTGGGGAGATGTCTGTCGACCTTGCATCCGAAGCCTGGGACACCTGGACATCTGTTGCTCTGTGCTAGTACTGAAGGGACAGCTTCCAAAGCTCAGGGCAGATGGAGTATGGACTACCCCTTATGGGCATAGCCAATATTAGAACCTCAGGCTGGGTCCAGATTCTCTAAGTGCTGAGCCCTGGCCAGGAAAAGATTTGCTATGCAAGGAGGGTAGCAGATTTTGGACCCTCATCTTGGGCGACCCCCAGGACTCCTTCACAATGAGTGCCCAGAGCAGCCGGTCTGTGGTGTGGGATCACAGTCTTGCACCCTAGGCAGCTGGCTAGGGCAATGGCTGCCACTTCACTTGCCTCCTGCCCATGATAAAACCCCAGGGGGCTTTATCATTATTTCAAAAAAAGTATTCTGAGCCTCTACTATGTGCCAGATGCTGGTCTAGTTCCCTACGCGTCATTTATCTTAACAAACCTCATGAGGTTGGTATCATTACTGGCCCCGTTTTACAGATGGCAAAATGGAGGCCGACTGAGTTCCATAACTTACCCAAGATCACACCCTAGAAAGCAGGGAGGTGGGACCAGAACCCTGGCAGTCTAACCCGGAGCTCAGGTGCTTCTAGTTGTGTCACTGGCCAGGACAGGCATTACTGATCCCCTGTAAGGCCTGCTCCTCCTGGCCTACCCCTGCCCCAATGAAGTCACAAAGTTTGGGGATGGTGTCACCCACAGACCCACAGGAACATCTGCCAAATAGATTCTAGTTTATAAATAGCTTTAGAGTGTGAAGTCTCAAAGCCTTCTTGGGGGCAGAAAAATGGTAGAAACCTAAACTCTCAGTTCCACCTCAGACAAGGAAGCTCTGGGGAAGGAAGTCACAAGGGCAGCTATCCGTGGTCCAAAAAGCCCCCCACGTGATTCTGAGACCAGCCGAAGTTTGAGAACCATTGCTTTAGAATTTGCAAAGCAGATTCCTAGATTGTCTCATTTAAATGGGCACTTTGCTATTATTCCACTCATTTTGCAGGTAAGGCTAATGAGTATCCATTTGCCAGATATCACCCACCAGGGAAGTGAAGATGGGCCTGGAACCCACAGTTTTTGGTTCTGGAATATTCTTGTTTGCACTGCTGGGACCAAGCTGCTGAGCAAGGGGGTGGGGGAGGGCCTCTGAGCTGAAGGGAAGGGTGAAAGACCAGAGGGGGGAGGTGGGAAGGGATTCCACCTCCCTCCCTCCTGGGGGAGAGGCGGGCCGCGGGGATAATTCCCTCGGAGGCGCCGCAGCCCAAATCTACGTAAATAAAGCCCGGGCTGGCGTTTTGAGTGATCGGTTTATTAATACTCGCGGGGCCACTGCCGCGGCAGAGGGCGATAACAAAGGCGCACCGGAGGCTTCGTTATGTAATTGCTCCGAGGGGCGCGCCGCGGGTGTTGGGGGCTCGGCCAGGAGGGAGGCTGCGATCCGGGGCTCTGAGGCTCTGGGCGGACGGCAGATGGAGGGAGCACTTGCTGGAGAGTCCTCACCCCGCTTCACCCGGCGCTCTCCTCCTCCCACTCACCGGCCAGCGGCCAGAAGGCGAGTTAACACCGGCACGGCAGGGTCCAGCCCTCCGCCTGGAGAGCGGACTCCCGGAGGCAGATCGGCAGTTCCAGAGGACCCCAAGGCTGAACCAGGGTCTCTCCTCCCCAGCTCACCACCGCTCGTCCTTGCCCCACTCTCGCCCTGGTTTGGGGGAGAGAAAGAGAGAAATGACCAACTTTTTGCGCCAGTCCTGTGTGCATAGCAAACTCATAGCAACCTCTGTGAGCGAGGTCCATTTTTTTAAATGGAGAACTGAAGCCCAGAAAGAGCTGGCTTCATAGACCACGGTTTTGAATCCCCAAATGTGTCAGCTCCAAAGCCCACATTTTTTTTCCCTTGGTTGTCACAAGGTGGTTTTTATAACCACCATGGATCAAGTTTTGCCTCAGTTTCTCCAAATGCTCCAGCGCTTTAACCCTTCTGGCCTTTGCAAAGGCTGAGCCCTCTGCCAGGCATTTCTGAGAAGTCCTTCCCAGTCTCCCCAGACCTGCGCTCCCACCTCCTACACATCCTAGGAAGCCTTGGAGGCAACCTCTCTGGCTCTGGGAGCGGCCATGCCAGCACCTGCCACACTGCTTCATGGGAACCACTGTCATCTGTCTGCCGCCATCAGGCCACGTGCTCTGGGATGGTGACTCCGAGTCTAACACATCTTCTTCACTCAGCCACTCCATCTCACCCCTCAGTGCAAGGCCAGGCACAAAGCACTGGGTGAATTTGAGGTGAAGGTTTGAACCCTCCGGTGGATTTAATGCATAGTGACAGTCTTCAGACCCTGCCTTCAAACTCTACACACTCACCTCTGGCTGTACCAACTCCTAGGCTGTGTGGCCTCTAGCAACTTCTGTAGCCTCCCTGGCCTCTGTTTCTCCATTGTTCAACAGGGCTCACAGCAACCTCGATCTCATGATGCTAGTGAGTGTTTATTGAACATTTACTATATGCTGGGCACTGTGCCAAGCACCTGCAGTGGGTGGCTTCATGGACTCTGCACACCAGCCCTGTGGAGGTAGTTACCATTATTATTTCCATTTTATAGACGAGTAACTCTCCCAAGTCTCCAGCTGATGAGGGACAGAGCCGGGATTCGAACCGTGCTCCTTCTGTCCCCTGGGCTTCTGACTTCCGTTCACAGGGCTATTTTGATAATTAGATGAAAAACAGTTAAGGGCCAGCATACAGCAGGTACTTAATAATGCTTCTGCCCCCCACTGTCCCAGGGTGGCTCTCCATTTCCCCTTCAGTTTTCTTCCCCATTGCCATAGGCCCCACGGCATTCTGGGAGCCCCTTAGGGCTGAGCAGGGGGAGGCAGGAGGACCTGGCAGAGGGAAGTGTTCTGGTTTCTGAGTATAAAGAAATGGTTGTTTTACATCCTTATAGTGAGAGGAGGGCGCAGCGTGCATTTGCCAGTCTAGCGAGTTGAGCTGCAGCTTCCCTGTGCTTCGCCAATTGCTGACATGCGTCTTTAGCCCAAGGCAGTAAACAGAAGCCCACTCCGCCTGGCAGCTCCATGTTCCTGGGGTGAGGAAGGGCGTCTGACCCCGGAGCTCTCAGGTCAGCCATCTAGGCCTACCGAGAAAGTAGGTGTCAGTGGGGGAGTTAGGGAGAGTTCCTGTGGGTCCCCCCAAGGCCATGAGGAGGACTCCTCCCTTTTCTCCGTGTACACAACTGAAAATGAGGATTATATATGCAGACAGGGAGAGAATAATGACTACTTATCAGTGACAATGTAGAGCAAGGCTGCAGGCTGCTACACCTATGGCAGACGGAGTGGTGCAGTGCACAGCCTGGGCAGCAGGTCGTGGCAGCCCAAGGGGACAGTCCATCATAGAGCTACAGTTTCATCCTGCAAGATTCATAATGAGCTTTAAATTATTCCAGCTGAAACAAATGAAGGAACGGATACATGCGTACAGACATAGATACATCCACAAAATGAGTGATGAGTACAACACCAGTTATGAATCAGAGAAGCCCATAATCTAGTGCAAGAGACAGACACCTGAGCAGTTGCTGCTCCCAGCTCCCCTCTTGTGCCTGGCTCTGTCCTGGGCTGGGACCTTGCCTTTGTCCCTGCTGTTCCTTTGGCTTGACCTTTCTCACCCATCACACCCTAGTCTTCATCTCTCAGCTCTGGACCATGCTTCTCTTGTCTCGGCTTAAATGTTTCCCAGCAGGGCGCTGGGGCTCATGCCTGTAATCCCAGCACTTTGGGAGGCCGAAGCAGGAGGATCACTTGAGGTTAGGAGTTTTAGCAGCCTGGCCAACATGGTGAAACCCCATCTCTACTAAAAATACAAAAATTAGCCGGGCATGGTGGCATGTGCCTGTAGTCCCAGCTACTTGGGAGGCTGTGGCACAAGAATCACTTAAGCCCGGGAGGTGGAGGTTGTAGTGAGCTGAGATCATGCCACTGCACTCCAGCCTGGGCGCCAGAGCGAGACTCAAAAAACAAACAAACAGCTTTGGCAACTTTTCTGTACCCACCCTCCCCCATCGCCCCCTTCACCATGCCTCATACCAAAGTTGGCGCAGGCCACATCCCTGGGCCCCAGAAACTCCCCCAAGCTGACCCCAGTAGCTCCCTCCAGGCCCTGTAGTGAATCTGACAGCTCGGTTCCAGGTTCCAGGTGCCCGGGGCTGGCCGTGAGCTACTCGAGGGCAGGACTCTATCTTGTTTCCCGCCATGCCTTTATGCCTAGTTCAGTGCCAAGCATACAGCAGGTGTCTGAACCGTGTGGGAAGAGAAAAGGTGTCGGGGAGAGGGTGAAGGGGAGATTGTCAGAGTGAAGGGGGCTCAGCCGCCCCACCCCAGCCTCACACACAGCACCCTCAGCCCAGGCACTGATCCCAGGAGTCTGAGAAGCTGGTCAGAACTGCCCTGGCTGCAGCTAACCTCTGAATGAGGCCCCACCGCCTGCTGTCACCTCCCTGCCCCCCCTCCTACTTCCCTCTCTGCCACCTCCACAGGGATCCTGGGCAGCCCACTAACTCCCACGGTGAGAAATCTCAAAGACTCCCGGGCCTCTGGCTGCAGCCGGCTGGCCGGCTTTCCCACCTCCTCTTTTTCTCTTCCTTCTGCTTTGCCTCATACCCAATCCCCCCCCCCCGCCCCGGGGGGCGCAAAAGAAAAAAAAAAAAAAAAAAAAGGCCCACACAGCAGCTTTAACAGTGAAAAACAACCGATTTAAGGAGTAATCGCTGCTGTAATGATTGTCTAAGCCCTGAGTCACTGTGGAAAATCAGATTGAGGCTCTGGGACTCCCAGGCTCCCTGAGCGTGTCATATGGGTTTGTTTTTTAATATCCAGGACCTCAGTGTCTCCATCTGTAAAATGGAAGGAATATTATCAGCCCAAAGAAACTGATGGTTAATCTCCTGATTTTCCCTGGGGCTGGAAATCAGAGGTTAAGGTAGTCTACAGATTGGCTTGGGAGTCATCAGGGTTCACATTCTTCCTACCACAGGACCCATGGGAGAAATGTGGTGCCGGGCGGGTGCAGAGAGACTCACAGCTTCTCGGGGCTCTGGGAAAGGTTTCTAGAGATGGTGACGTTTAACCGAGCTGGGACGCGTGAATGGGTGAATGAGAGCTATGGGAAGTGACGGAGTGATGGAAAGTCAGCTCTGGAAGGGACTACAGACCTCATTTGGTCGTACACTCTCATTTTACAGACGAAGAAACTGAGGCCTGAAGGGCTTTGGGAATTGCTCAAAGTCATCAGCTCATTAGTGGCAGAGCCCAAGTTAGAAAGCAGGCGCCTTGACTCCTGCTCCAGTGCTCTCTCTTAGGATGCCAGCCTAGCTCATAGAAAGAATAGATGCAGTGTGTGGCTTGCTCACCTTGAGCCCAGGGCTGTGCTAATGCCTTATGCGCATGTGCAGCATTGTCTTTCATTCCTGGAATAATCCTGTAAGGTAGGATTAGAATATAGGCCCTGTTTTATCTTAGTAAGGCTCAGAGAGGTTCAATGGCTTATTCAGGGACACACAGCAGGGCTTTCTTGGCCTGCAACCCCTCCTGGCTTCTCTATTCTCCAGCAGGGTCTAACATGGAGGGGCCTAAGCCGGAAGCGGGGCTTCTGAGCTGCACCCCTGGGTGGGCTGCCTTTCCCTCGAGCCTCTGTCCTCTCTAAGGAGGGTTAGAGAGGGACCCCTTCCCTAGAGGGGAGGGAGCCTGGGCTTTCCCTGGAAGAAGCTCCCACAGGAAGGGAAGCCAGATCGTCAAGGAGACAGGAGGCATACAGGTAAAATCCCCATCAGTAAGAGGCTGCCTGGCCAGCGCACGTCTTTGAAATGCCAGGCTCTCCTGGTGAATGCATTCCAGCTTCTGCGGCAGAAAACCAGGTAGGATTAAAGGAGGTGGGGAGAGGATAGTGTCCAGGGGTGGGAGGGACCAACCTGCCCCTCACCCTGACCCCACACTGGAATGGGCATGGCAGACAGGGCGCTGTCTCCTAGGAAGCCAGGATACTGCCTTGGTACCACAAAAGCAGGGCAACCCATAAAACAAGAAAAAAATGTTTTCAAACAATTTAATTTTATTACAAAAATGCATTAAAGTACTGTTGTCATCATGGGATTTCCTTACAGTTACAGTTTAGTGTTATTTTTGTTTGGGATTCGTTGGGGATGGGGGGAGAAACCATGATCTTTTCAGACTTAGAGCCTTTCAATATTGCAGCTGTGCAGGGGAGGAAGGGAGGGGCGTGTTGAAGGGCCAGCCCTGATCTCCCCTGGATACTGACGTCCAAAAGTATTACCTAAGGAGCCTGGAGTCTTGGGTCCCACGACTGGCTCTGGTATGAATTTACAGCATCAAATTTACTTTATGAAACTGTACGCATTTTTGGGCCTCGATTTCTTCACCTGTTGAATGGGTATAGTTACTATTACTTCACCTATGTCACAGACCTTTCATTGTCATTCGGGCTAGAAATGAACAGAGACAGCCAGTGGCAGTGCCTGGGAGGACTTCAGGGACTCGCTGCAAAGCGTGTTACACATGCAGATTCACAGGCCCCTCCCCAGACCTCCTGGGTCCAAATCCATGGGGTTGGAGCCGAGAGATCTGCATTTAACCGCTCCCCTCCCCTCTACTCAAGTGATCTCATGTCATCATAGTGAAAACTCACCAAAGCCAGAGATTTGGGTTCTTCTGAGGAGCTGCCACCTCTGCCACGTGGCTGATGCCTCCTGTGTGAAATCAGGGAACGGACCTGGGTGGTATCTGCAGGTGCAGCCTTTGTGGTGTCTCTCTGAATGGCCTGGGCTGGGGCTGGCTGGCCAGCAGGAGGTGGAGAGGGCAACCCAGGACAGAGGCCCTGTGAGGTAGGGCCAGGACTTGAAGTCTGGCACTGACAAATTCTCTAAGAGGGGGGCAGACCCCACCACCCCAGCTTCCGGCTGGGCCCCAAGGTCCGGGAGACTCCATGAAGGGGTGGCAGGTGTGCCATCTGCTCAGGCGTGGGCTGGGGAAGGGGGGCAGACACCAACCGTCCAGTATTGAATGGCCTTTCTGTTGGGACCCAGCCTGAAGAACAGATGGCCTGAGGGCCGCTGGCACTGGTGCATGAGGGGGCGACAGAGGCCGGGCCTCCCCCCTCCCCGCTCACCCCCCAATAAGTCACAGAGTCCTCTCTTCCTGAGTGAGCAGGCCCTCACAAGGCACCCTTGGTGACAGTAGCCAGGAAGAAGCTGGTTTAAGGAGGATTAGCAGGTCCCCACAGCAGGCTGCTGGGGGAAGGCTGGGAAGCCACCCAGCACCTACAGCCTCCACCGGAGCCAGAAGGGGAATGGGATACCCGGTGCGGGAGGGCACCAACTTCCAACCTCTTCCCCCAGGGCTTCTTTTTCTTTTCTTTCTCTCTCTTTCTTTCTTTTTTTTTTTTTTTTAAGTTGGAGTCTCACTCTGTCACCCAGGCTGGAGTGCAGTGGTGTGATCTCGGCTCACTGCAAACTCTACCTCCTGGGTTCAAGTGATTCTCCTGCCTCAGCCTCTTCAGTAGCTGGGATTACGGGTGCCCGCCACCACGCCTGGCTAGTTTTTGTATTTTCAGTAGAGATGGGGTTTCACCATGCTGGCTAAGCTGGACTCAAACTCCTGACCTCAAGTGATCCGCCTGCCTCAGCCCCCGAAAGTGCTGGGATTACAGGTATGAGCCACAGCACCTGGCTTCCCACCAGTTTTTACTGATGGAGAAACTGAGGCCTGGGAAGGCACAGAGCCCTAGCTCCACATCACGCCCGGGTCAGTGGCAGAGCTAGGACTGGAACCGAGACATCCTGATACCGTATTTGAGGCTCCTCCTGCCCCTCTTCCGGCTTCCCTCCTGACAGTCCCCCTTTCCCTCCTCCCTCCCCTCCACTCTGCCTCCTTCTCCTGAGACCTGGCCAGGCCTCTCCACCTCTGTGTCTCTGCCACCCTCGTCCTCTGGTCTGAAACCCTCTCCTGCTTTAGCTGCTGCAGATTCTTCAAAACCCAAGGCAAGTCCCCACCTCCTCCAGGAAGCCTTCCAATCCATCTTCCCAAACTAAGCATCCAGAATGTGAGGCCCATGCACTGTCCACTTGGGATTGTGGAAGCCAATCCCTTCGTGATAAAGAATCAGTAACGGAGACTCAAGCAGGGAAAGACTTTTAGAAATGTTCCCCACTGCTACCTGCCCCCTGCAGCTATTCTCCCGAGCTTCGTTTTTCTTTAAAAATTCAGAGAGGCTGTCAAGGAATCTGGTAAAACAAGGGTCCCTTTGGGTTCTTCTCTTGAAAGGAGGTATTTTTTCTGCTTTCTCTCCAAGGTTTCCCAGAGACTCGGATTTCCTTTTCTTTCAGAGACAGGAGCTGAGCCACGCCTGCAGACACCTGCTCCCCTGCTTTGGAGATAATCACAGGGTCATAAGCTCTGCAAGGGACCTCACAGCTGCTGGGCCGGAGCCAAAGGGGCCTCAGGGAGACACTTTGAGGGGGACATGGGAGGAGGAGAGCAAGGGCATCCCCTTTTGGGGAGAGACCCAGGTGTGAATCCCTGATCCAATATTTACTAGACCTCTTGCCTGGGAAAAGCCTTTGAGCTACCTCTGTGCCCTCCTGGCCAGGCTATGGGGAGGGCTTGGATAAGGTCTGGTTGCCAGAGGGGAGATGTTGGGCCCCAGCCCCTGCCCTCTCAGGGGCCCAGTCCAGGGACAGAATCCACTAATCACAACAACCACTCATGTCTCAAGATTCCCCAGTCCACTAAGCCAAGGGCATCCCCTACTCAGCCCTTCGCCTGCATTGTTAGAAATAGATGTTGGAAATAGATGCTTGGTGCAGCAATGAAAAATCAGCACTGAGACAAAGGATCTTTCAGCAACGTAATTTTTACTTCCTGGGCTGCAGGAAGGGTACACTCACTAGCCATCTTGCCACAAGAATACAAAGAACAAAGGAAAACACACAAATTTATCCCTTATGCATGTGGGGTTGTCCTTATTGCTGTGTCTGATCTCCGTTGGCTGGAGCCAGACCTCACAATCTAAACTAAAACCTGATTGGCTAATAACTTAAAACTTTTCTAAACGGGTAAAAGAGTGTAGAGCTGGGACGTGCCTGTGAGCACATCCAGCACAGATACCTTGGTTAAAGTACAAGGACATGGAATGTACTACATGCCTGTAGGGACGGCACGTCTAACAGCTACATAGGATAGGGCTTAACAAAGTTATTGGCACACTTACTCTTTAACAAGAAGGGAAACTTCAAAAAGGAACTTTTCTGCTTCCCACATGCTTTCTGGGCAGCGCTCGTGCCTTGACTTGCTGTGCATCTTACCCTCCTGATGCTCCAAGTTCTCAGTTCTCCAAGGCAAGAAGTGGACACTTCTTTCTCAGTAGCCTCTTCCACTCCTGGAAAACTACTTCAGGCTTTCTCTGAGTTTCTTGGAGCTGGGCTTCCAGCTGCTCCCTGGTGTGAGGAGGGAGGCTGGGGAGGTCTGAGGCCAGGAAGGTGGGAGATCAGTTTCCCCATAGCTAGCAGCTTCCAGCTGTGAGAAGCCCAGTCCAAGAGAACTGGGCTTTGTAGATCCTCTCAGATCTGATTCATTCATCTCACTAGTTATGCGTTTATTGAGCATCTACAATATCCCAGGGACCATGCTGGTCTCTGGGCATACAGCAATAAAAACAGCAGACATGAATCCTCCCTGATGAACCCCAAGCACATTGCCTAGTTGGGGAGACAGTAGTCAGAGTCCTTGAGCAGATTTACATAGTGACAACATGTAATGGGTGCTTTAAAAGCTATAGAAGTCCTGAGACAGTCATGGGGGGAGAGTGATATTCTTTAGATGAGGTGCCAATCCAGGTCCCTCTCTGAGGGGTGACCTTGGAGCTGGGACCTGCAGGATGAGAATGGGAACCTGCCGTGTGTCATATGGAGGGCCATGAGTGAGGCTGAAGGGGCAGTGGGGGCCAGAGCTGGTAAGAAGTTTTACTTTTCCCCAAGAGACATGGGGAGCAGGTAAAGGGCAGTGATTTGATCAGGTCCACAATTTCCTGAGCTCATGCTTAGGAAATTAGCTCCCACTTTCCTAAGCCAAGCAGTTGGATTGGCTTGGAAGGGAGAGGGACAGTGAAGAGATCTGGAGACACAGGGGTCTCCAAAGTGGGGGGCAGCACAGGCACCGCAGGAGGGGTTTAAGGGACTTCTCCAAGGAGAAAGGAATATTAATTTTTTTATTTCTATTTCTATTTCATCCAAAAAAGAGAAAAGAATTCAGCATTACCAGTATTTATAGATTGACGCTGATGTCCATATTAGGTCTTTATATGAAATGTCACTAGAGGGAAGAATGGGAGCTGGACCACACAGAGAGGCCAGCCACTCTGCCCTCACTCTCGCTGTTGGCATTTGGAAGAATTTTCCTATTCATTTGGGACCAGTTAGACGATTCATAGATTTATCAAATGGATAAATCACTAAGAAAGAAGCCAGACAAAGGAAGAACAAAGAACTCTTGGATGAACAGAAGCATGGCATGGCGTGGACACTTCACTCCTCAGGGTGCGTTTGGGCCCACAGAGGAAGGAAAAACAGTGACAATCCAGTTGGGGCCCACAAGAAGGTAGACCCCACATTTATACTATGAATAAGAAGACAATTTAAAATAAGAATTTGGCCGGGCACGGTGGCTCACACCTGTAATCCCAGCACTTTGGGAGGCCAAAGTGAAGGTCAGCTGAGGTCAGGAGTTCAAGACCAGCCTGGCCAACATGGTGAATCCCCGTCTCTGCTAAAAATACAAAAATTAGCTGGGTGTGGTGGTGCGAACCTGTAATCCCAGTTACTCAGGAAGATGAGGCAGAGAATTGCTTAAACCCAGGAGGTAGAGATTGCAGTGCCTGCACTACAGCCTGGGCAACAAAGCGAGACTCCATCTCAAAAAAAAAAAAAGAAAGAAAGAAAGAAGAATTTATATCTACTATGATTACTAATGAACCTAGCTATACTGTATATTTTTGCTTTGTGAGTAAAGGTGGTTAAAAAAAATCCACAGTAATTAAGGCATTTTAAAATATCATTTTATCTTAGTTTTATTTTTTAAATTTGTATTTTTGTGTATGTGTGACAATGTTCAAGTTAGTATAGTCATGCATGCTTATTATTTATAAACTAATTACTAGATCGAGTATGTGTGATTGACATTTTTTGCTGCTTTAAAAATGTGAGCAAACTAAGTAGAAAGTCCCGAGCTAAGATGTGAGGAGCCCAGGACTGGGGCTGCTGTGGTTCGCACCGACTATACGGGGGTGCCAGACCCTGGGCCCGGCCTGCTGGCAGTAAGGGCTTCCCGCTGGCATCTATGCCGTCTGCCTAGCTCTCTCTTCCCTCAGCCCACACTTTCATCTGGGAAGGCTTTTTTTCCCCTTTTCCAAATGAACAGAAGTTCATTCCCTTAAAGGGTAAACGGCAGATCCTGGCGAGGCTCACAGATTATTTATTTGCTGGCCAGTAATAGAAGAGAACACACATCCTGGCTGGAGGAGGAGGAGGCCATTCTGGCGCCCGCACAGGGTGCTGGAGTCTTGGAGGCCTGGGGCTTGCCCCCTGTGAGGTTTGCCTGCTGGCTTCTTCTACACAAAGGCCCGCTTGTCCAACCTGTCCTTACAGGGCACATCACTCCTGGTTAATTTCTCTTCACAGCATCCCGGAAAGGTGCAAATCATGCCAACTTTGTGTGTATTACAGGCCCCAGGCCCAGCACTGCACACGTGATGGCCAGCTCCCTCCATGGAACCTGCATTGGGCCTGCAGCCCCTCTGGTGGAAGGTCTTGCTCTTTGCTTTGGGGTTTTCAAGGTCCTTTGCAGGTACAGCACTGTTGCCATCAGCTCTGCCCTCGCCAGGCACCCAGGGGCCAGCAGACCCTGGGAGAAAGATGTGTCCAGCTGCCTGCAGTCAGGCCAAGCTGGGTGTCTAGGCTCCATGTGGCTCAGAGTCCCTC